AAAAAAAGCCAAAACAAAACCAAAACACCCAGAAAACCCACAAGCTGCAGAGTATTTTGGAAATGCTGATCCATCTCTGTTTGCAAAAGACCACACAGAAGACCATCCATGTACTCCTGACATGTGAAAACCACTCACTGTGCTTTGCAGAAGTCACAATTCATATAGTAAGTGTGATTTACATTTATTTGGTGCTGATACAAAACACAGAAAAAGAGCAGACCCCAACAAAAAAGGGAAATCCACACGTTTTCTAGCCACCACTAATTTTGGGATTGATCTCAGGTTTCCCTGACATGATGTTCACCAGCTCTTCAAATTTGACTTCAGGCACTCATGCTCCAACACAAGGATGAGGGACTTTTTACAGATTACCAACCCCTTTTTTTCTATTCCTTCCCTCAAATTCCAGATCATACCAGAAATTTTGCACCTGACACCTTTACACTACATAGAAATGAGTTCTCTACAAAGCGGCTATAGTGGCTTGGACAAGGAGAAACTCCACACAGTGTGATTTTTCACCAACTTCTGAATCATGTCAAGATACAAAATCAATCTGTCTGCTGCTCATTCACAGCTGCTACATTTTTTCCCTGGTGTTACTGCAAACTTCACCCGTTGCACAAAAAGTACATTAATAAGAGCCAAAGAGCCTGGCTCGACTGTGTTGCTTGGTTTGTGCTAAACACAGAAAGGATCGATATTTAACATTGACATTAATGGTGGGGGATGACAGCTTAAAACTCTGTTTCTTGTCTTTTTTGCATAGGCATTAAAGATCCCCTGGGGCTCTTCATGGGAGTAAATGGCCATCTCAGTGTCCTCGGACAAAACAGTGTCTTGACCCTCATTCTTATTAAATATTTATCCCATAGCAGTGCAGAATGATCCCCATTGGAAAAGGACTCTTCAGAGCTACGAAAATTCCAAGCCAAGCACTTTGAGATAACCAGGATGAGAGATCCCAAACCCATACTGCCATCAAAAGTAGGGTGCTGCAAAGTACCTCTCAGGAACCCCATCTTGCCACCTCCCAAATCACCACCATGAATTGCCCATGGCACTGTGCTTTGGCCAAGACTCTTCAGGCATGGTGAGGATGACAAGTTGGTGTTGTGCTCCCATCCCAGCATGAAGGTCACCTCTGGGGACAACTATGAACTGCACTGTGTTGGGGTCCCTCCAATAGCTCTGAGCTGTTCTCTCACACTATCCCTGCAGGCTCTGCACTTGCCATTGCATCAAAATACCATGGCAAGGCAAAATACATCCAGGAGTTAGAAATAACACTCATTTATTTGTGCTAACACAGCCTGAGGGGAGAGATGGGGCTGCACAGAGGAGACAGTCCCCAGCAACACCCCAGGGCACAGCAACTTCAAATTGTAACCCTTCAGGGAGCCTTGGCATTCTGCACTGCCAGGAGACCTTTATCTTTCCCCAAAAATCAGTCTGATTTGGGGAAACCAGAGAACGCAGTGAAAAAGATTAACTCATTGAAATTAGGATTAATTACTCCACGGTTACTCCAACCACATAAATGAAAATGGGGGATGAAGGGGGGCAGGAGGCAATGCCTGGTAAAAGCATGTCACTTCCCTGGGGAAAGCCACTCTATTGGCATCCTCATCGATTTTCAAAATGAATTCCCAGCTTGCTTCCCACAGCGACCCGGCCACTGAGAGCATTAGTGAGAGCCAATTCAGGACTCACGTACTCCATTAGGTCTGTGAGATGAACTCTGTAATAGTAGGTGAGAGATGGATTGCTTTGCAGGACTGGGAGGGTATTGCAAGGGCTGGGAAGATAAATCCTGTTGAAGGAGACTGCCAAGATTGGTCTGGATATTTTATGTTGTGGGGTTTTTTGGCACTAGAATAAAGGACAGCTCATGTGTCCAGGTCACACGCTGACAGCGGGTCCTGCTGGAGGGCAGGAAGGAGGCAAGAAAGGAAATCATGGTAGAAAAATAGTATTTGACAACTAGCACACACTAAGGGAAAAATCAGGACACCACATCAATTTAAACGCAGATAGATCCCCATGAGGGTAAGGCATAGAGGATGAATAGGAGACAGAGATCCCAAAGACATTTCAGTTTGCCATGCTGCAGCACCTGGCTACCAAGCAATGAGGACAAACACTCCTTTTCCACATCCATGCAGCATTCTTAGTGAATAATCTCCATGGGATCCCATCTGCCCTCCAGGCATCAGTCCCACCCACATCATGACCAAAGATACTCAACTCAAGCTCTCCACAAGCCAAAAAGAATGGTGATTCTCAGTCCCTCGTGGCCATCCACCTAGGGGCCATGGATAAACTCAGGTCCCTCCATCATTTAACAGCGTAGACGTAACCATCTAATTCTTTGGATTGATGTTGTTATGTTGAGGGAATGTATCAAGTACAGCCAAGGAGGGATAAGATCCTGTGCAGTTCCTACTGCCATTCCCAGGGGGGACACACCTAAAGTTATGTAGTGGGGCCATGTGGGAAGTGTCATCTTAACCCCATGTTTCCCGGCCAGTTCTGGTCTGAGTTTGGGGAATTGGACTCTCACAGTCTGAAAAAGGCACTGTTGGACGCCCACAAGTTAAAATCCAATGTCTTCAGCATGGTTTACACAAATACATCTTGCTGGGCTCAGGCTGCAGCTGTTGCACTGGTCCCTACAATAAGCCAGCAGTTCTGTGGGGACAAACCAGCACAGCCCTGCAAAACCCCATGATGTCAGTGACCTTTGGCTGAAGGCTTGGAACTCACTAGTCCAGATTAAGATACATCTTTTTATCCACGTGTTCCATCAAAGTGGGGAAAAAACTAGGAAACCCATCCTCAAAACAAAAATCCACAACTGTGAGCACAGCCAGCAATGGGATGGACTAGGCTGGGAGCCAGGAATTTTTTATGAATGTGTTCAATCCCCCAAAGCGGTAATTCCCTCCTTGTTGACAGTTTTGAATTCCCTTGCTCAGAACACTTGACTACTGCTGTGTGCACATAGTTTCACACAGTGTTCCTGGGCTTATCTGAGCAAAATAATAACTCAGCCTCCTTTGGAAACTGTTGCTCTGAATGTCCTTTTCCACTGGAGCCACAATGTCAGCTTTCCCTGCCTGAAGGCAGAGGCTGGGACTGCAACTCCCTGTATCTTCACATGATACTGTGGATAAATTCCTGTGCTCCTGTTGATTGCAGCAAAGGTGGCAGGCTTGCTTGGCATCCCTGAGTGGCACAAAATTCCCATGATCCCCAACATCAAACTGGCAAGGACTGGTCCAAGATCTCCACAAGAACTCCTCAGATCTGCTCTGGCCACAAAGTGCCTTGGACCACGCCGCTGACTTTGTGCCAGTTAAAACTTGTGGCAAATGAGACTTTCTTTATCGAGGGAATAGTAGAAATCTACTAGAAATAATCCCTAGGATGGCACAGAGCAGATCATGCTCATGCACACCATCATCTTCCTCACTCTTTGGAGCAGTTCCATCATTTATTAGCAAAAAAGAGGGGGAATCTTCATGGGAATCTCCCTGCACCCCCAATTTTGTTGCCAGCTCTCACCTCATGCACAAATACCAAGGAATAATTAAAACAAGACAAACAACCCTATCAAAACAAGCCATCCACATGCTTCTCCTGGCAGAAAGAGAACAAACAACATGTCCAGTGCATGAGTCAACACACCACAGTGCTGCCAAGAGGCCCTGGGATGCCATGAGGATGAGCATGGCACCCAAGGAAGGTTTATTTACTAAGCTTTCCGTATCGCCTCCAAGCTGGATGGCATTTGGAAAAGCTGTTGTCAGCCTGAGGATGAACTGGCAGAAGACTAAAGGTTTTCTCCAGCAGGTTAGTGGGACACAGCATCTGATCTGGATAATTTCCCCTCTCCCTCAAAATGGAGAGCTGTGTGTATGGACACAGGCACCCCAGTTCTCATGACTGCCTGAATTTTGGGCGCCAAGCAGGGGCAGTCGAACTTCCCAAAAGTGAGGACAGGGCACAGCTTCAACCCTGACTGCAGAAGAGCTGAAGAGTAGAGAGACAACAGTGACATAGGGCTTTTGAGCTTTTCCTTTCCATTTTCTGATGCTCATTTCCATTTGCTTTGGGAAACTGGTCAGGACAGACTGGCCAAGGGAAAGGAGAAACATCACCCCTTTACAGACAAAGATCTGCTGCACAGAGG